TTGGGGAGAGAACCAGTGACCTAGTCAGTTCCCTGAAACTTCACAGGACAGTAGCCTTCTTTTTTTTTTTTTTTTTTTGCAGGAACTGAAAGATGTGGGGATGTGTTTGTGTGGATATGTGGGTTTGCTTGTTGTGATGGAGAGGAAGAAGGGGGAAAGTAAGTAGAGAGAGCAAGATTGGTATAGGATGCAGAAAGACACTGGTTCAGATGAAAATGCTCACTTTTCAGACTGAAGAAGAGGCTTCCCAGGGCATAAAAGAGAAGATGTCCAACAATTACCCTCCTACCCACGGCCAGGACATACATGTGACCAGAGATGTGGTAACCCACCACAGTTCTTTAGAGTCTGAAGCTAAAGGCTTAGGGTGGTGGGATGAGAGAAGGGCAAAAGATGGGGAAGAATTACATAGAAATGTGCTTGTGGTGGGGGTATTTATTTGGGGTTGGTTCTACCCCAGTCTCAGGCTGCAAACTGGACAGGAATCATGTGGATTCTGATTGGATTTCCTAGGTGAAGCACAGACTCTCAAAGTCTGATTTATTAGCAAATCTGAGTCAAGAGGTCCTGGAGGAGAGAACTAGAATCCAGTTCATAAGATGGAGGTAAAAAAAAAAAAAAGAAAGAAAAAATTCCCCTGAGAGAAAAAGTGGGCAGGGGTTGTCTGAGAAGGGATGGGCTTTTTTTGTCAGGATTCCACTGCCAACTAAACTCACTAATACTCTTTTATAGAGATGCCTCCTTTGTCCTGAGAATGTTTTACCCTTCTTTGGGGTGTTAGGGAATATTTTTGCTGTCTTGAAAGCCTTGCTGATTCCTAAATTTTAAATGACTCCAGAGGTTGGAAAACTGAGTCTGTTTACCATTTCTTAAATACTTCTGAATAAATTTTAAACTCCTGTTATTTTTGCATAGAGGAGCTCTGGTTGTGTAGTGCCTAAGGCATTTGACTGCTAACCAGAAGGCTGGAAGTTCAAACCCACCAGCCACTCCTTGGAAGGAAGATTGGGCAATCTACTTCGGTAGAGACACTGCCTCAGAAACCCAAGGAGGGGTTGCTATGAGTCGGAAACAACTCAATGGCAGTGAGTGAGTGAGTGAGTTATTTTTTCACTTGAATTTTTCAGAAACGGCTGCATTTTAAAGAGCTAAAAGAAAATAAGTTCTTAAAATGCAAGAATCAAAGCCTTCCTCTACAAATGAGGTGAATGAGGTTTCTCAGTGCTGAGGCAAAAATCCTATTCTCAACATTAGGATGTTTTGTTTAGCCTCACACCATATTCTCAGTCCATGAACTGCACGCCAATTGACCTTTCTGTTCCTGAAGATGTTAAGATTCAAGGCAGAGGGTCTGGAAGGTGGGATCATTCCTTTAGCTTAGCACTTTCTATCCTCTTCAGTCATATCCTTTCCCTGTAGAGGAACTATGATATTAAACTCTTTCACATGGAATTGTGAAGGTGCTGTCTCTCATATCTGTCTTCTCCCTTCCCAAGCCCCCACTCCCACCTTTGCTTTCTGCTATCAAGGGCCATACATTACTTGGGAAATGCATTTTTAATTTTTGGATATAGCATTTACCCCTCTAGTGGCATTAGCATTTTAAAAGAGGATTCAAACTCAGAGTAATTTGAGGTCTCCCTGGGCAAGGTTTTTTGGATGGGAAATCTTTCCAAGGCTTCTCAAACTATAGGTATTGGTGCTGTCATCCATTTATAGACCCATACACAGGAGGGTTTCTAGGACCAGCCAAGGTGACACTGTGGAACTTTAAGTGTTTCATTGATTCATTTGGATAATACAGAAAGTAGCTTACAATATTTTTTTAAACTTTAGTTGTACAACATAACTAAGTTTAAACATTTGGGACATGGGGGGCTCTGGTAGCATAGTGCCTAAGGCACTTGACTGTTAACCAGAAGTCCGGTGGTTCAAATCCACCAGCCACTCCTCAGAAGGAAGGTTGGGCAATCTACTTCCGTAGTGATACTGCCTTGGAAACCCAAGGAGGGGTCATTATGAGTCAGGTCCGACTTGACAGCACATAACAACAATAACACAGGAACCACAGCCAATTATCTACATATAATTTTCTGCTCTGAATTTTCTATGGAGATATTAAATAAATAAGCTCTGCCTGTTTGGCATAGTGCCTAAGGCACTTGACTGCTAACCAGAAGGCTGGTGGTTCAAATCCACCAGCCACTCCTTGGAAAGAAGATTGGGTAATCTACTTCTGTAGAGATACCACTTTGGAAACCCAAGGAGGGGTCACTATAAGTGGAATTGACTCGATAGCAGTTAGTTTTTTTTTTCCCCCAACAATCTACCAGTTTGTGTCCACTTAATTTTAATAACAAGTAGTTAGGGAATGCATGTCCCTTTATTCGGCATTATTTGATGTTCATTTGCTTGACAGTCATGTACTAAGCACCTGATTATTGCTATGCTTTCCACCAGAGGAGAGAGAAAAAATGACACAGCCCCCAATTTCAAGGGGATAAAGCTAACTAGGTGGATAAGGTGTGTGAGAATTAAAGAAAACACTGGAGAAGCCATGAGGAGTAGCTGCAAGAGCACCACTTGGAGTTCCTCTGTTAACACAAATTCTAGGCAGGAGATGCCCAGGACACTCAGAAAAGGTTTCACGGAGGATGCTTGCTTGACTGGTCCTAGATCTGGGCAGGAATTGGATAAACAGGAACCTTCCAGAGGGTTGGGTGTTCCGGAGGGCCCAACTGTCTTGACACCCTTGGGGCTACCGCCTCCTGGCCAGCCAAACTCCTCAGGGCCCAGTACTGGTGCCCGTTCTTCTCTAAAGCCTCCCTTCCTTCTGTTGGGTTGGGAAAAATCTCTCCCTCCTCTGTTATTTACTTATTTATTTATTTTTCTCTTTGGGCACTCACCCTGCTAATCCATGCTATGGGAGCAATATTTATGAGCATGTAACCTCCTCCCCCCAACTGGAGGCAGTATCACCACCTTTGAAAGCTCCAAAGCACCTAGAACAGGGCACAGCATAGAGAAGGTGTCTTCAATAGAAGTAGAAATGGGTACTAAGTGGACAGATCACATTCTTGAATAGTGGAGTAGGACATGGGGTCAGAAGGAATAAGAAGGGAATTACAAAGAGCAAGGCAAATCAAGCATGGCAAGATTAATCAGCAACAAGCCCAAATTACACCATGTGTTTACTGCCCAATCCTCACATATAAAGGGATTCTATATGTGTGCTGGCTTGATTTATCATCCCACCCATCCATCAATTTGAGTAAGAAAAGGTGCTCGCTAGATAGAATTTTCTAGAAGTATCTCTCATGTTGATTACAAAAAGTTCATGATGAAATTGGAGAGGAATTCAACATGTGGAATTTCTTATTTGTTTATTTTATTATTGTGATTTGGGTGAAGATTTACAGAGCAAATTCCCTTTCCATACAGCAGTTTGCATATACTTTGTCTCATGACATTGACCACAGTTTACCATAATGCAACAGCTCCTCTCCCACTTCCTCCCCATAGTTACCTCTTCCCACTGTCTATCCCTCCATGGACTTCTGCCCCCTAAGCTGTCTCTCTGTGCATAGGCAGCCCTTCTTTCTCAATGACTGTTCTCTCCAAGGAGTGTATCTACCTCAGGTAAATGTTCAACTCATACACCTGTCTTCTGTTTGGCTGGAAACCACAGGTGTGGGTTCAATTCCAGACATGAAGGGAACCTAGGGGCCATAGTCTTAGGGTTCCACCAGGCTCGATCGGACCAGCAACCCTGGTCCCCACCTTTTATTTTTTTTTTCTCCAAATGATTTTGAGTTTTGTTCCACATTGTTCTCTCTCTCTATCAAGGATCTGCTACATAGATCCCCTTCCAAGTGGATGACAGTGGTAGCCAGGCACCATCTAGTTCTTCGGTCTCATAGTCATATAGGCTGCAGATCAGATGGTGTACCAGTCGCTAGGACTAATTGTTTCCATGAATTTTGGTTTTCTTCATTCTTCTTTGCTCTGGATGAGGAGAAACTCATCATTGCATCTAGATGGCAGCTTGCTAGCTTTTAAGATCCTGGTCGCTACTTGACAAAGTAGGAGGTAGAACAATGTTTTATATAGTATGTTATGCCAATTGAGCTTGATGTCCCCTGTGACTATGGTCCCATGCCCACAGGTTCAACTACTCTGTCACTCTGGGTAGCTGGCTGTGACCAAGCAGTGACCACAACTTTCCCCTTGTCAACTCTACTATACACCTGGGAATTCTGATCATTCACATAAACTTATAGGACCATTGTCTGCCAACCTTATGTATGTTCTTGGATACACTCCCCATTTCACAGACATACCTAATAGTTCAGCCTGTCCACCCATCTATCCACCCATACACCCATGTTTGCCTTCACTGACGACGCAGTATGTGCAAAAGGGTTCATATTTGTTGTCTGTACCTCCCATGTACCTCTCTATGTCTTTCTCATCCTCAATGCTGCCATATTGGTCACTCACATTTGGTATATTGCCCTTCTCTTCACCCAAATCAATACTATCTCTATCTATCTAACCATGTTCCCTCCCCTCCGCTCCCACCCCTGGTAACCAACAAAGAAAATGTCCTTCTATAGATAAACCTTTCCTTAACTTTTACAATAATGAACTAATACAGTATTTGTCCTTTTGTGATTGACTTATGTTCCTCAGCATAATGTCCTCCAAGTTCATCCATGTTATGTGGTGTTTTGCAGATTCTACATTATTCTTTGGCGTTGCATAGTATTCCATTGTGTGTATGTACCATAGTTGGTTATCCATTCTTCAGCTGATGGACAACTAGGTTGTTTCCATCTTTTGGCTATTGTATAGTCTATTTATGCCATATATTAGGGCCCTTAAATTTGCCCCCAGATTTTCCTTGAACAACTGTATAGTTTTAGGTTTCACATTTAAGTCTTTGATCCATCTGGAGTTTGTTTTTGTGTATGGTGTGAGGTATAGAACTTGTTACAACAGTCCATTCTATCTTGCAACTCTCTTAACTTCCTCTCAACGTGTGTGACTTTCATATCTTATAAGAACACTTGAAAACTGCTGTGAAACTCTAGCAAAGGTGCTTAACCTCTTTCTTTCCTTGATTATGCTAGGATGATTTCTACCAGCCACTCCTCAGAAGGAAGGTTGGGCAATCCTACTTCCATAGTGATACTGCCTCAGAAACCCAAGGAGGGGTCGCTATGAGTCGGGGCAGATTAGACGGCACATAACAACAACAACAACAACTAGGGCTATGGAGTGTGGGTACTTGATTAGTAAAACAAACAAACTAAACAAAAAACTTTGTGGTCATTACACAAGATAGGTAAAGGGCTAGCTCAGAAATTCATGGTAATGGGGCAAGATTTACCATTAACATAATCCAAGTAGAAGCTTCACAATGTCAAGTGAAAGGAAAAACTTAGAAATCCACACTTTGAATGACCTTTTGCAGCCATACCCGTATCTTCCAAGTTCCAAGTGAGGTGAGAGAGTGTGCTATGCGGGATCGGATAGAGCAGGTGAGACGAAGGTAAGCATTCTGGACTGGGTTGTTCATAGTCTTCATTGAGACAGTTGGGGTGGGAATGACTACTGGGTTTCCTGCCCAACCCCAAGTCTATTCTCTTCTACATTCTAAACTAGGGGAAAACAGTTCCCAGGTTTGTTGCCTCCGCTTCTATGGGTCTCCCTGCAGCACCCCTTCTCCGTTAGATGGCCTGGAGCCCTTTCAGGTTGATCACTTCTCTTCAAAAATCTGTTTGTAGGCCCTGGTGGGGCAGGGTCCCAGCATGACTGCTCACACAAGTCCTAAGCCCTGGCCATCGTGCCATGTGCAGGCTCTGGCACCAACAACCCTCTTCCCCTTGCTCCTTCCCTTTGTTTTCTGCAGCATATCAAACCTGAAGGTTGATTTGGCCCACGACCCACATATCAGTTCTTCCTATTCAGACTGCTAAAAGCAACAGGTGAGAAGTCTGGTGGATGAGTGGTTGGGCAGAGCAGAGCATTCTGCTTAAAAAGGGGCACAGGGCTGCAGGGATTTGATAAGCCCTACCTTATGCTTCTGGAATGATCTCTCAAATTTCTGGAAGGACTTGACATTGAGTTTCAGATAGGCCTCTCTGACTTTTCAATTGTACTGTTTTAAGTCAATGCATATCAGTGTTACCTGTCTTGGGATCATGGGAGAGCTAGGAAAAATGCCAAGCATTGACTCAGTAGGTCTTTGAGGGGTATGTCTGTGATTTTGTATTTTTAATGGCTCCTAGGGGATGCTCTGCTGGTCTCTGGACTGCACTTTGAGTAGAAGAATCACAGAGCACTGGAGTCAGGAGAGGAGACATAGGTTTTGGGAGTCACTTTGAGTCACTTGGCCTCCACCCTTGTACTTGGCACTGACTAGTCATAACAGTAGATATAAGGCCAGTGATAGGGTCATCATCCATCAGGAAGAGGTCAGGTACCCCTTTTTTTTTGTGTAAAGACTGTGCTACCTGGTGTGGGAGCTACATAGGGGCTAATCATAACTTGCACTTGGCTCTTAAAATGCTAAAAATAGGGCTAGCATGTTATGCTGACATTGATTGGACGCTTATTTTATGTCATATTTTTTTAAAGTGTACTATTCCAAAATTCTCATTTGATCCAAAAACCATCTGTTCTGGTTACCTAGTGCCACTCTGACAGGAATATACCACAAATGGGATGGCTTTAACAAACAGGAGTTTATTTTTACAATTTGGAGGTTTTAAGTCTGAGCTCAAAATGCCAGGCTCTAGGGGCTGGTGAAAGCTTCTCAACCTTGGGCTTCAGCTCTGCCTCCTGCTTCCAGCCCACTGAAGCTGGAGGCTTTTCTTCACTCAGTTCCTGGCTGCTGAGGCTGACAAACCCACAGTTGACAAGTAACAAGGCATAGTGCCAATATTACCAAACCACACAGCAGGCCATAAATTCAAGTCCATTAAAAGTCCCAAGATTGGCAGGGCATGGCAGGCTGCTGAACAACAACATGGGTACATGTACGATTCAAGTGTGCCATAAGCTGCTGACCATTCCCAAAGCTGTTTCTTATATATGGGAAGCAAACCACATCCCTAAAGTAGCTACTCAGCTGCTTGTGGTAGATCCCACCATGGAGGTGATTGCCAGTCTTATCATGGGGAATAACTACCACCAGCTGCCCAGCCACTCAACCAGGCCCAGCCAAGTTGACACACAACCTTAACTACCACACCATCTTAAAAGGAGGGTGTTGTTGGTGCCCATTATACAGAGGGCTGAGGTCAAGCCAAGGCTTGGAACAGATCTTGGGTTCCAATACAGCTCTACTGTTTGTGAGTTATAAAGTTGTTATCTATAATAGTAGTATCTATTGCACAAGGTTATTTTGAAGATAATGTCTAGCCCATGGTAAGTGCTATATTGTTTGCTGTTATTAATAGGAGGAAACTGTGGTTCTGAGGGATCAGTAACTTGCCAGGTTACTTCACTAGGAAGAAACAGAATCTCAGTTGTCAGCCCTAGGTCTGTCCAGCAAGCCACCAACTTTGCATTCATGGACTTTTCTGCTCTCTATATCCAGCTCTGAGAATATGCAGAGGGGCAGAGTTAGGGAGAAACGTTAGTGGTCCTGACTTAGACAGCCTCCGTTTATTTATATGTCCCGTTGGGATTTCTCTGTTCCCAGGTTGGTGTGCCTCGGGGTCAAGGAAGTGGCCTGTGTCAGCATATCCATCTTTCCTTGATTTAAAGAGGGACCAGAACAACGAGACCTGGGCAGAGGGGACTCAGCACTAGACTTTTTACTGTCATAGTGGCCACCCTGGGATCTTCTCCCTAAAGTTGCTAATAAAAAGATGCTATTTAAGAGCCCTCTCTGAGTTTTGGGTGTGGGTTATGTCATTCATTGATTCATTGTCAGACATGCAGGCTGCATGGGCCTGGCTCTGGGTTATGATCAACCAGACAGAGTTGACAGTCATTACAATGGAGGTGAGACATGCACAGGTGGGCACTCTGAGATCATGAGAAGGGCTTTTAACCTGTGTTGGGAGTGGGTTGGGACAGGGTGGGATCCTGGAGAAAGTGGGGCTTTTTTGTTTCATTCAAGAATTTATTGAGTGTCTGTTATAATAAAGGATAAGAGTTATGAGCACTTACATTGGTGGTTCCATGTTAAAATTCTTGCCTTTTATGCAGGAAACCCAGGGTAGATACCTAGCTAATATACTTTAAATACAGTTACTATGCATCTGTCAATGTAGGCATGTTTGTTGCTAAGATACTGAACAGGTTTCAGCAGAGCTTTGAGACTAAGATGGACCAAGAAGAAAGGCCTGGTGATCTACTTCTGAAAATCAGCCAATGAAAATCCTACAAATCACAGTAGTCCAATCCGATTGTGCATGAGTCATTGACAGTCAACAACAACAGCAAAATACTATCTGAATACTTTACATGCGCCCAAGCAGTTATTTCAAGCAGCCCTTTGAAATAGATATTATTATTATTACTCCTACCTTGTTTTAGGGAAGAAACAATATAAGAAAAAAGAAGTTAAATTCCTTGTCTAAAGTCAAATGAGGGAGCTCTGGTAGCATAGTGGCTAAGACACTTGCCTGCTAACCAGACGGCTGG